ATGTACTCATGGTACATCCCTGAAATCTCAGCTACTCAGCAGGCTGAGGCAGGAAAAGAGCACATGTGAGCCCAGTGAGATCCTGTCTCAAAATTATAAAAAGGGTTAGAGATGTATGTCAGTGACAGAGCATCCCTGTGTTCAATCCTCAGTACCACAAAGAAGAAGAGGAGAAGGAGAAGTGGGAAAAAGCTGGGAAACCGAAGGGGTAGGGGGAGGGATTCCCCAGAAAAAGCTGTAATTTGCAGCATAGAAAGGGCCCTGACCATGCTGGCTCCTGACCTCGGACTTCCGGCTTCCAGACTATGAGAAATAAAATTCTATAGTTTGTAAGTCATGCAATGTATGATGCTTTCTTATAGCAGTTTGAGCTAAGACACTTATCAAAGGTATTCATCTCTGTTTAATAACACAGTTGTTTAAAACAGCAAAAGGTCTGGATCCTCAAAGCTCAGTCCCCCACTTCCTTTAAGTCTTAGTCTAAATGCCAGCTTCTCCACAACGCCAAGGCTGACTATTTAACACTGCAATAACCCTTCCCACCCATCCTCCCAGTTCCCTTCATCTGCCAATTTTCTTTAGTGGACATCTTAGCCCCTAGTAATAAACCATAAGATTTACTGAATTACTCAGTGTGCCAGCAGCCCACTTCTTTTCCTTCCCAATAACACACATGGATATAAAACTGACAAGGATAGAGTCTTTATAAACCCTAACCCTAACCGATTTATCAAAAGTTTCCAAACATCCATGGTACACAGTAGAATGAGAAAAGTCAATAGATGCTAGTTCCTAAATGAACCAAGGATAACATTACGGCTCCAAGCCCCAGTTCAGCCCATCCTTGCCACACATCCCTAGGGAAACTATCATCTTCCCTGGTCCTCAGTTTCCTCATTAGTAATATAGAACACACATGAATCCCCACCCCATAGGATCATCTTGAGTGCAGTGAGGCAGTGCGTGTTAAGTGATTAGACTCATGCCCTGGACACAGCAGACATTCGGTAAGTGTTAGTTGTCACCATCTTTATTATTTCAAGATAGGTTTCCAGAGGTGGTGATGGATTTGTGATGATTTACACTCTTTGGGCAACTAGCTCTCCTCATTGATGGCAGCAATCTGAGATGGAGAAAAGGCTCTGGGTAGACCAGAGGGCTACCAGGGGTCAAACCCCATGGCTGTGGCCTCTTCAGCTCCAATGCAACAATACCCAGAGCTCTGCAAAGCAGCTGTTAACAGTGTAAGTGCTACTTACTGCCTCTGACCTGCCGAAGTAGAGTAAACATAACAGTGGAACCTCGGAGTAAGTGATGGCGAGGCTCAGAAACCTTAAAAGGCAGGGAAGGCAGCTCCCTTCTTCCTACTTGAACTGAGACTTGTTTATTTGGCTTAACTGGAGTCAAAGTTAATGGTTCTAATGGCTTTGAATCACCCAACTCATTCTCCAGATTTCTACACACTGGCTATAAAAGAAGATAAAGAGGGAAAAAATGGGCTTCCATAAAAGAATTTACCAGAGCACACTAATCATTTAGACATCGGCTTATGTTTCTAGAAAGCTGAGGATCAAGAATGGTATGGTAACTTTTCCTGCTAGAGCAAAATTCAAGTTTGCCTAAAGGCAGTAGGGGCGGGGCTGCAAATTAAATCATTAATCTGAATATTCACGATGGTTTAGGAAATCACAACACTGGGAAGAGGCATTCTGGGTTTCACACATACTTTGATTCAGGGATGAAAGCAAAGATTTAAGGACCCACTGCAGAGGGGATGTGAGACTAGGTAAGAAGACACAGGTGACAGGGAAACAGAGATTGCAACAGGAGGAGGGGTGCTTCCCGATTTCTTTTTTACTTTTTTTTTTTTTTTTGTCCTGGTACAGGGGGATTTGAACTCATGACTTGCACTTGCCAGGCAGGCACTTGTGCCGCTGAGCTATATCCCCAGCCCACTTACTGATTTCTTGGCAGTTAGAGTCTTAACTTCCCTATTAATCGTAATGTGTCTTCCTACAGCTAATCTTCTCATAAATGGCCCATTAAAGCACTATGAGAGTAAAATGAAATAAATGACCACACAGTCAAGGAAGAGATAATGACTAATCAGGCCACTAAGGAATTCCTCTCTTCATATTAGAAAATAAAGACCCAGGAGTATAAAATGGAATTATATTCCAGATTCCCAAGTGGATGATCTAGCTAGCCTCTTACACAAAAAACATCTCAGAACTTTAAGATGCATGTGATGAATGCCTGGGGAGTTTCGGACAGGATCCAAGATTTCGCTTTCTGACACCCTCCCAGACAACCCTGAGTTGGAAGCTTCTGCCCCATTGAATCTGCTAAGGTAAAGTAAACCTGCAGAATAACTTTTTTTAATGAAAAAAGTATTTCCCAAGAGCAGAGGCAAGTAACATTACCAATGAAATACTGGTATTTTGAAAGGTCTCCTCATTCAACAGTCTCTGTATATTCAAGAGGCATCTGCAGGGTGGTTTCAACTGCAATGAATTAGTAAAATAGAATTGCTACAGGTTTTTCAGACATACACAAACAATATTAAACAACATTTTATAGGTGAATGGTCCCACTGCGGTCTATTGATATGCATTCATTGACCATTTCCCCCTTACCTTTAAAATACTAGGCCATGCCTAATTTGCACTAACTCTAGAAAACTGGCTTAATTTGCAGCCTTGTTTGTTAGGAGTATTATGTCTAGGGGTTGCTTTCACTCTCTTTTGATTTTGACCTTTTAGATAAGGAAGATGGCACACCACATTCTCACAGGCTTATTTGCATAGATTTTATCATCAGTCACACAGCACCACAATGCTGACCATCCTCCTTACATAGGACCTTATTTAGGAGGGGCTACAGTATGGTGGGGGAGTGGACAGGGAAAGGTCACACTGTTTCTGTTTCTCTTATTTTTTTTATCCCCTGACCTATTAAAGAGGAATCTTAACCCATTTGATAAAAAGTCCATGAAAACTAAACAGTCTATTTCTGGTCAAAACCTACAGTTACTGCCCAAATTTTCCTATTGGTCCCCTTCCATCAGCTGAGCACAAGAGGTTTTTATATTTTTTCCTATAAAAAGTACACAGTGTATCTAAATCTGATCCCAGTAAAGTTCGACTTCAGCTGAAGTGAAAATGCAGAGGTAGCATTTACTGTAACAGCTGGAGAACATTAGTTCCCTGTCTCTCCTTTTCTCTCCCAAGGGTTGAAAACTCTGCTGTTCAGACAGGAAGTCGTCATATACCACACACTGCACAATACGAGAACGCTGGGACAGAAGAGCAAGTTGCGGAGGATGTGGGAGTTCTGTGGGGAGCGGGGGTCAAGAATGCACAGGAGTGACTGCGCTGCTTCTCGGGCCGCCACCCCCACACACGCACACTGTTCAAGTGTCATAACGGATGCACACCCAGAAGTGACAAGCACCGGGAGCAATTACTGAAAACTTTTTAACTCACTGTTAACTTCACGTTAACTTCACCTTTCATTTGTCCACGCATTCAAAAGACGTTCACTTGAAGACATTTTTGGAGACTGGCCAAGATTCTCCAACAATCTTTTCTGGCATACTTTCACATTTGTTACCGAAAAATGACACCTCCAATTTAAAAAAAATAATAAAGTCGATGAAAATAGTTCTCACATAACTGCCCAAGATGGAGATGAAGACACACACCTACAGATACAGATGCACAGATTCGCATGTGTAAGGCGAGGAATTTAAAACATGACGATCAGGAAAGGAATGATTTAAACAAAAGGTTTCTGTGGATATGGCTTTTTTAGGGTCGGTTTCTGCTGTAATTCCACAAAGCCGCTGAGAAATGAACACAGATACAAACAAGGTGAAAGACCCCCATAGTCTGTGACCACAAACTCCAAGTTCTGAGCAGGAGATAAGAGTTTCCTTCACACCACATTCTGCAGAGCTGTTCTGCATTCCTACCAGTCTGGGAGCGAGCTCGGGCCCCTCCTTTGTAACCGCCCGTCCTCTGGGGCGCGTAGTAAAACCCACCGGTCTCTTCCGAGCTCCTCCAGCCGCTTTCACTACTTACAAACCTTAACTTCTGAACTGCAAAAAGCAAAGCGCCCCTGCCCTGTGCATACCAAGGGCACCCTGTTAAATCCACTGAGTTGCAAACACTACGGTTTTATGCAAAGAGGGAGAGGAGGAACAAGGGAGAAGCCAACCCACACATCCATCATCCTTTTAGGAGGAGGCGGAGTTTAAAGTTTCCCCAACTTCCAAGTTCCCACTTGACAGGCAATATTTCTGTGCAGTTTCCAGCCCCACGTAACAGATGGTCCCTTGCCCGTCTTGAGCCCCGAGAGAGCTCAGACAAAGCTCCTAGCCATTCCACGCCTCGCGGGACCTGTCGGTGGTTATTTTCACGAAGCTGTCAGACCAGGGGCAGTGAGCAAAGAATGGAAGCTCAACTTCTTCCCGAAGGAGCTTATTCTTTTACTTTTTCTTTTTCCTCTTTCTTTCTTTCCTTCTTTCTCTCTTTCTTTCTTTTTTCTTTTTCTTTCTTTTTTTTTTTTTTTTTTTTCTTTTTTTTCCTGTTACAGGAAAGTCCAGAGAACTGGAGCACAAAGGCCTGGGGAAGTTTTACTGCGCGATTTTTTCCAAACGTCCTGCACAATCTGGCAAACCACGGTGCTCCACCCTAGGTGTGCAGGGGAGGAAAGTTGAGGCACACGTGCTCGGAAACCGCAGAGCTGCGACTCGAGCCGTCCCAAAGACAACCGAGGAAGTTGCTTCCACAGACCACCCCTCCTCCCCGTGGAAAAGCATCCTGCAGGCGCCAACCCACTCAGGAGTCCCTCTGGGCCACAGGAGACGGGGATGGCCTAGACGGGTGCCAAACAGGGGTGCGCCCGGGCGGCACGCAAGAACCCTCCTTCCCGGCCCGGAGGGCGGAGATGGGGAGGGGGCGCGAGGCAGGACCCGAGGAGGACGGGCGGCCACTCACCCTCACTGCCGTACTGTTTGCCATTGTTCGCGCCCATCCTGTCGCCGTCATGCCCGCCGTCTCCCGGGACACCGCATAGCTGGGGCGCACCTCCCGCGCCTCTGGCCCGAGGAAAGCCCGCCCGACGGGACCGTTAGCTGCACATCGCCCGCGCTCGGGGCCGAGCCGGCCCGGGGCGGCCCCTGCTCCGCGGAGGGAGGGGGCGCCGGGTCCCCTCCTGGCACCCCGAGGGCTGCGGGCGGGGCCCTGGGAGCCGCGGCTCTTACAATCCGCGCCGCCCGGCGGGAGCGACCCCGCCCCGAGTCCGCGCCCCGGGGCCGCCCAGAGGCTCGGCGCGCCGCCGCCGCCGCGGGGTCCCCATCCGCGCGCCCCGATGCCCCGCGGTGCGCGCCCAGCCGCGCGGGCGCCGGCTCCGCGCCCGGCCGCCGCCGCCTCTCCGTGCACCCCTGCGCGCGCGGCTTCCCCGGGGAGGGCGCGGCGGCCACTTGTTGCGAGCGCCCGAGTGAGCGGAGACGCGCGGCCCGGCGCTGCTCGCCCGCGGGCCGCACTTTTGTTAGCGCCAGGCGCCTCCTCTCGCCGCCCAGCGTCAATCACAGCTGGAGCCCCGGGGAGGAAGGCCGGCCCGGAGACGCGCGGCCTTTTAAAGGGGCAGCGCGCCTTTTCGGGGATCCCTTTTGGGCCCCCTGGCTGGGCGCCTCTCCGCGCGCCACCCGCTAGCGGTTTGCAGCGGAGGAACCGCTGCTGGCTGCCTTCTACTATTGTTCTTTTATAGGTTGGACCTCCAGTGTGTAAGATGAGCTTGCAGGCGTCGTTCGAAATCCCCTGGGCTTCTCTGCAAATAGGACGGGTGGGTGGGCATCGGAAAGCGACACGCGTGGCCACTCCTTTGGACAGATCTCGGGGAGCTACGCTGCCCTGCGCCGGTGGCTCCCCGGGTTTGAGGACCGGAGCGAAGCCGGGAGGAGGGGCGGAGAAAACGCGAGGCCAACTCTGTAGGGAGTGGTCCCCCGAGAGCAGAGAGACATTCCTGCTCCGCGAAGGAGGCTTCCTGGCTCAGAACTTTTAAGAGCTTTGGAACCAGGAAGTGTACTTCTATAATTTTTTTCCCTTGTGGTTGGTGCTCTCCTTTGTTTAATACCTTAACCCCTGTTTTGGACATTTACATGGCTCTCACAGAACCTGAAAGTACCCCTTGGTGAACCTCTTCACTAAAAAGAAAAGGGAAATTCTTTTTAATATTATACTCCCTTTCCGTGTAGTTACCTAGATTGTTACTGCTTTGCATCTTGCAAAGATCAGGAATGTTCAGGCATTTGCTTTAGCCAGGCAAGCACGTCGCACTTGCTCCTTTTAGGTATTGGAGAGTTAAAGTTGAAATGCATGGATGACGCATATATTATGTATACACATACTTACATATGTGCACATATGATACTCAAATAGAGAGCGAGGAGTTTTGTGTTTCTCTGTATCTTAGAAAACTTGTGACTGCATCCAGAAATTGTTAGTAAATTGACTTCCTATTAATTCACTTGAGTAATTTCCTTTAATTTGCTACAGTTTTCTTTAAGATAAGTTAAAGCCTCACATCCCAAAATTTGAAAATCTAGATTTATAATGCAGAAGACACCATGTACTGAAACCCTAATAAATTCATCTAAATACTAACAAGGTCATCTAAGTACAGAATTAAAAATTTTGTATTATATTGAAATCCTTTTCTTCTCTCCCAGTGCAGACATGAAAAAGTATATTTTAATGCCCCTTTTCATATCTAGAATCTAGCACAGTTAGCACAGTTTTTGGCCAATAATACATAACTCCTGAATATCTGTTGAATTAAATTAAAAACCTGTTTCATGGGCCCTAAGTAAAAGCAGGGCATCCAAAATATGGAAGAGTAAATAGGTTTTCAGATTCTACCCAAAAACATTAACTAGACAAAGAAAGAAGCCAGTAGCTACATTATCTTCACACAGAAGGAAACTTCTACTCCTGGCCCTTGTGATTTTGTCTCCACCTACAAAACTACTCAAGTTCTCATAGTTTTGAGGTTTCAGTGAAGGCAAACTAGTCTTAAACTAAAAGAAAGAAAAGAAAAAAGGAAAAAAGCTCATCTTGACGTCTGATGCAGAGTTGATCCCCTGCTTTTTACATGGGATTATCTTCTGGATATTCTCAATTCCTCAAGAAAGTGACAAAAGAAGAAACTGAGGGTAAGAGTTCAAGGAATAGTCAGCCGGAAGGGGCAAACCAGATGGCTTCCCTCCCTGGACAACCCACTGTATCTCTTGATCCAGTTATTCAGCCTTGAGTCACTGTCCTCACTTTTTGGCTGGGTCACCTTCCAGGGTCTTTAGTATCAAAGTGAAGCTGATGATGCAGAGCACATTGTGGCAACCAGTTACAATTAGCTTCTTTGAAGTTACAGTCTGTAAACATTTTGGAAGACTCTACTTCCTGTCAGAATAGAGAACAGGAGTAACTAAGTTTGTGAAATTCCAATTTCAAACAAAATAGAAAAACAGTTTATGTTTAACATCATTCCTATGAAAACTGATATACATTCACACTGGCCTAGTCACTGTAAAAGCTTGAAACAAAACCTGTAGTTAAGCAAAGAAGAAACAAAAACATATTCCTGAATTTTCAAAAATGTGTTTGTTTGCATGTTGTTATGGTTTGAGTCTGGTGGTTCCTCCAAAGTCTCACGTGGTCATGGGGGGCAGGCTTTTTGAAGACAGTTTGTTAAACCTGGCCTCTTGTTTTCATGCTCTCACCTCAGAAAACAGAGTTACAGGTTTCCAGCTTGACTCAGCAGGGAGCCAGGGTCCTTGTAAACATCTTCAGCCTGTGCAAGAGGAGAGCATAGAGATGGTGTGAGCGCCACACTCACCCTAGGAGGTAGCCTGCTTACAATAGAAGGGAAGAAAAGAGGCTTGCTCCCTCCTGGCTTTCCCTTGTGTTACTTTTGCTGCATTGAGGAGTATATCCTGTGCCATATCACCTTACTGTGGAGCCAGCTGATTATGGGCTGAAACTTCTACTTCTGTGAACCAAATAATTCTGGATCCTTAACTTTTGGGCATTGGGTATTTTGTCTCAGCAACATAAGTAACTAAGACAAATGTAGATATTTTATTTTTTAAAATTAAGATACTGTGCAAAAGTATGATTTTAACTAGAAATTCTAATATTTTCACCCAGCTTTGAAACCTAACCTTTGAACTTTCAATACCAATTTTCAACCTTCTTCAGAAAAAATGCCAAGTTTTTCACCAATATGTTCCTAATACCTAGTATATTCCCTAACACAAAGTAGTCAGTCAGAACTTGCAGAATGAATGAACGTGAAACTGAGATTTATAAATAAATGATCCCGATGTTATTCCATTTCCTGTCCTTGCCTTTTTAAATGGGTTAAAGTTACTGGAAAAAATTTAAAAGAAGTCAGATGAAAACAAAACCTATCAGAATTAACAAGCTGTCTTTATGAAAAGAAACAGCCAAATAGTAAAAGCACCATTTACTCGGCTCTCTGCTAACTACATGGACAAAGAAAAAGGACCAGGGAGCAAAGCTCTGACTTTTCATGGCTACTTACATCTTTTCTTTTCCATTTTCCAGTTCTAACTCGGTGGTTGTTTGGTTGCTTTAATAAATATGTCAGCACTTTAAGTAGTGAAAATGTTTTGCCTCAGAACTTTCTTTTACAGTATTGAATTCAAAGCCCACCTTGATTTACAACATATCAGCCCCTCATTTTTCTAGGGGTGGAGCCACAGAGGTGCAGGTTACTCTCACTTAGTGCTAGTGACAGAAGGGCTGTCAGAGCCACCTTAAGGGGGCCACAGTCCCCGGAGCCAATCAGCAGCCTCTTCCTTTCATCTGACCCTGAACTGCCAGATTTGCAAAGGAGCACAGTTAACCACAGGCCTCCCTGGAATACTGTAGACAAAATAAACTCTCTTGAAGGCCGATTTGGGAAGGGGGCAAAGCCAAGATCGCTGATTTAAAAAAAAAAAATACTAAAAATGATCATAAGAAATATTTGTCTGTAAAGAGGGAACAAATGAATCAAATAGTCATATGATGTGGGCTTCTGCTTATTTTCCCCTTTGAGTAAACTGTTGCCTTCAAAATTCTAAATCACCTGCTTATCTTTAGGGTTTTTTATGTGTCAGAATATGATTAGGTTTGCACACTCCTATAAGATTGTAGAAAAAGCACCTTCGAGTTTGAGAGTAGGTTTCGGTATAAATGTATGTATTGTCAAAGAAGAAATACCGCTTTTTAATCAACAGAGATTCATCATCAAAATGCAAAGTTGGCCTCTTTGCAAAACAAATATTTATGTAAGAAAAGGGCATAAATGATTGGTACTATTTTTATTACTACCAAACACAGCACATGATTATTCAAGAATTATTACATGTAACTATTCCGTACCATACAGCATTGTCCAGCTCACCTGCCATCCCTTCCCCTCCCCTTTGCCTCTGTCTCTGTCTCTGTCTCCGTCTGTGTCTCTGTCTCTATCAAAAGTTAAATATTTGTTTTTTCACTATAACTACTTAGAAATGACCACATGACAATGCCCTTGCCTGGAAAATGCAAGTGAAATTCACCAGGACACCTGAAATAAATTTTGCTATTGAAATAAAATTTAGACACTACCACAGTTAGGCTTTTTTCTCCATTCTTTCAATTCCAATTTTTTTTTTCTTTTTTGAGACTGTGGTGGCCACCATCTGAAGGAAAAGGACAAGAGAGTTATGAAGGCTGTAATTCGGCAGGCTTCCAGCCAGTGAGAGAACACGAGCGATACTGACCTCCAAACTCCTTATAATAAAGCCATAAAACCTTGGAGTCCTGATAGCTGGGTTTTCTATGACTTAGAGTCAGCTTCAAACTTAAAAGATAACTATTTTATTCACTTAAGAAAGAAAAGTACAGATAATATGCGATATTTTCACCCATTTTAAAAACAAAACTTTTAAAATATATGAATGCGTAACTGGGAAATGGTAAGCAATAAGTATACTAAAATAAGCCGGCCACTATTGTCATATCACTGTGTCCATAAAAATAACTGTTCACTGAACAGAATTTATATGTGGAGAACTGACAGACTTTGGCCTCTGCTCCACAATAGTGAATTCTGACTTTCACTAACGTAATAAGAGCAGTTGAGAA